CTTAATACATGCCACATGCTGTCCTAAATGTATATGGTTTAACTACTTAAATGGTTATATAACAATCATGTATTATTCAATGTGAGGAAATTGAGACAGAGAGGTTAAATGGACCAAAGACACAGAGTCAGTGGTAAAAGTGGGATTTAAACTCTGTCCTGACTCCAGAGGTCAAGCTCCTAATTGCCCCTTTATTGTTTCACTCAAGAGAATGTATTTTTATTACTTTCCTCCAAGTTTTTAGTTTCAAAAAATGTTCATTCTTCATTTTACTATTATTCAAAGCTTCCCTCTGAAGCAAATATAAAAGATCAGTTTTTCTTCACAAGTGACTAGCTTAAAGAATATCATATGAAAGAAAACATTTTCTGGAATACATAGCTAAAGTAACTACATCAAATTAAAAACTTTGATATGAGACTAAGCAAAATTTAAAACACATGTTTATATTTGTTGATGTGGGTGGTGTTAAATTTTCTGTACTGTTTTTATGTTTAAACTTGTGACCTGGCAGACCACAAATGTTCTTAGAAGAATCAATGTTTAAAATATTTTTTAAAACTTTATTACCTGAAACAATATTGTTCACATGGTTTGAACTCTAGTTGAATTTTACATGATTTTTTTGGATCACCTACTATCCAGACAGTGGTTACATGTTCACCATTGTGACCAGAGATTATATACTGATTTTCACCTTTCCTGAATTATTTTGATAGTGTTAAATTACTTTAACATATTAAAATTCTTTTACTTCATACAACCAGTAAGAAAAAATAATCAACTCATCTACTTCTCAGATACATCAACTATTTTGTGTCAGGTATGTGAATATATTTATTTACATTACCTAAGCTACTTATTATCTTTAAATCACAGAAAGTAATTTCTCAGTTTACCAAAAGTTTTGGCCTTTAAGGTGGTTTTAGAAGTCTGACAAATTTATTTCTACAAGAAAAATTAAAGGGATATATTTATTTAGCTCCATAAATAAGATAGGTGAGAAACTATGGCTTAGAGAATTGACTAGTCCAAAGAAAGCCAGTCAGCTAGCTAGTGGCAGAGTAAGTTACTGGATCACTATTTTGATATTCTTTAATTTTTAATATTTTGCATTTTCAATAGCTGCCTATAGCTTACAATGGTAACATAAAACCAACAGGTTGTTGCTTTGTGTTGATGCCTGATACTGGTAATCTACTTTATTGGAACTCTTATCCACAGTTCATGAAGTGAGTCTATGAAAAATGGTCATGTTGAATAACTAACAATTCATTATTCATGTGTTAGGACAGCATCCAGCACATCTCAGTGCTCTTTAAATGTTTCTTAAGTGCATACAAAATTTGGAAGATGTAAATATTAAACCCAGTAATTTCTGTTCCTTCATTTACTGTTAATTCACCTCTGACAAGGTCACTCTGTTTATAAAATAGAATACCACCTTGTCCTAGTTACTAGAATGAGTTCATATTTAAAGTGTTGTGAAGTCTCTAAAGATATATGTGATACATTTGGAGAATTGTCTTAATTGCTCCCCTCTTGCTTCAAACTTAGAATATTAATTTCTTAAGAAGCATTTTTACATAGACAAGTACGCTTTATTCTCTATGTTCCTGTGATGAACAGGAATCACTATGCTATTAGCTGTAATTTGTTTAGTATCTGCATGTCAAGATGTGGACCTCACAACCTGTAATAAGAACCAATAGCTACCAGGTGTGTGCTTAGGACAGGCCCTGTCCTAAGTGCTTGGTGTGTATGTGCTTAGTCCTAACTCTTTGCGACCTCATGGACTGTAGCCGGCCAGGCTCCTCTGTCCATGGAATTTTCCAGGCAAGAGTACTGGAGCAGGTTGTCATTTCCTCCTCCAGGGGATCTTCCTGACCCAGGGATCGAGCCCAGGTCTCCAGTCTCTTGCACTGGCAGGCAGACTCTCTACCAGTGAGCCACTTGGGAAGCCCCTAAGTGCTTTAAGCGTCCCCTGTGGCTCGGCTGGGAAAGAGTGCCTGCAGTGCGGTTGGGATGATCCCCTGGAGAAGGGAAAGGCTTTAAATATACGAATTTTTAAAGTGTTTTAAATATACTAATTCACTTTACCCTAATAACTGAAGTACATACTATTACTACTACCACCCCCAGTTTAGATGAAAAGACTGAGACAGAGATCAAGTAACTTGGAAACTGGAGGAGTCTGGGTAAAGCCTGCTGTGGAATTAGAAAAGCCTTTCCCCCTGAATATTTCCCCTTTACTGTCACACTGTTATCACTCGTAACACTTCTGACACCGTGTTTCCCCACCAAGTCATTCTCTGCAACACCAGCTGGAGGTGGCATCAGATCCCACAGGTTAAGGCCGCAGTCCCACAAGACTGCCCCTTCCCCACTTCAGACGCCAGTCACAAGCCCAGCTTGCTCCCTGTGCTCCTTTTAGTCTGGGAGTGCATGCCAAGTCGCTTCAGTCATGTCTAACTCTTTGTGACAATATGGACTGTAGCCCACCAGGCTCCTCTGTCCATGGGATTCTCCAGGCAAGAATACTGGAGTCGGTTGCCATGCCCTCCTCCAGGGGATCTTCCTGACCCAGACCCAGGGATTGAACCCATGGCTCTTTAACATCTCCTGCATTGGCAGGCGGGTTCTTTATCACTAGTGCCACCTGGGAAGTCTGAGGTCCCCACAGCTCCCTCCTTGGGTTCGATTCATTTGCTAGAGTGGCTCACAGACTCAGGGAAACACTTAATGTTCACACGTTACTGAAGGACATGATCTGGAGGAGGAAATGGCAACCCACTCCAGTATTCTTGCCTAGAAAATTCCATGGAAAGAGGAGCCTCACAGGCTACAGTCCTTGGGGTCACAAAGAGTCAGACAAGGCTGAACATGCACATGCACCCACACACAAAGAACATGATAAATACAGACGAACAGCTGGATAAATAAGTACATACGGTAAAGACTGGGAGGATCCCCTTTACAGGAGTGTCTGTCCCCATGAAGTTGGGTACCCCACCCTCTCAGGAGAAGGATGTGTTCACGTTCCCAGAATGTCCCCAAACCTCCTATTATTGGGATTTTGTGGAGGCTTCCTCACATAGACATGACCAACGAATAAACTTCATTTCTAGCCCCTCTCCCCTCTCTGCAGCATGAAGGTCTGGGGCTGAAAACTGCAAGCTTTTAATCATGGCTTGGTCTTTCTGGTGATCCGTTCCCATCCAGAAGCTCACCTAGAGTCCTCTTATTGTAACAAATTATATTCCCAGTGCTCCTGTTACTTAGGAATTTATGAAGGTTTTAGGAATTTTGTGCCAGAAACAAATATATGTATTTTCCATTATCTAACAGTTCTTAACCAATTACATGTATATACCTATACCTAAGTTAGGCATGGGAGAAGGCAATGGCACCCCACTCCAGTACTCTTGCCTGGAAAATCCCATGGATGGAGGAGCCTGGTGGGCTGCAGACCATGGGGTCACTAAGAGTCGGACACCACTGAGCAACTTCACTTTCACTTTTATTCATTGGACAAGGAAATGGCAACCCACTCCAGTGTTCTTGCCTGGAGAATCCCAGGGACAGGGGAGCCTGGTGTGCTGCCGTCTATGGGGTCGCACAGAGTCGGACACGACTGAAGCGACTTAGAAGCAGCAGTAACAAGGTAGGTATAATAGTACCATAGAGAAGAAAATGAGTCAGAAATCAGGTACTTAACTCAAAATCACCCTAGTAACTTAATTCCAAGACCTGTACTTTTTCTACTATATCAGAAAAGGAAATACAGGATAGGGCTCTTAATACAGAAAGGCTAGAATGAAATCCCTGTTCTTCCACTTAATAGCTACATGACCTTGAGAAAGTTATTTCTCTTTGCCAGTTTCTTCATCTCTAAAGTATGGATACTGGAAGTTTCTACATGACTTGTGAGGAATAAGGACATAAATGCTTACAAAAGTATCCTCGCACTCAATATAAACTTTTATTTCCAATTTTCCTTTTTTATTTATAGTAATTTGGCACATGTGCTACGCTGGCAGCAGTTGTAAGCCAGAGGTTAAAAGAATGAAGGCTCAAGTTAAGCCAGTTTGGGTCCAAATCCCAAACACAATGTCCTTTAGAAAATTAATCTGGAATTCTGGCATCCTCATCTCTGATGCAAGTGTTTTAATAAATATTAACCACTGACATCTCTGCATTTCTAGCAGCTAGCACAACATTTAATGCATAAACAGTTAAGAGGTCCTTTGTGCTCCTTCACTAGTCTTCTCATTTTCTCCCTGGCATCATCCTAAGAATTTTTAAGTACACCACATCATCATCTTTCCCCTATTGTAAAGATCAGAATAATTATATATTATATATATATATATATATAATTTTGAAGTACCACTTACTCAGTAGTAATCTTATCAGATTTTCTGCAAGTGCAAAGTACAATGACCAACCAACAGTATGGAAGGAGAAATGGAATTTTTATCTTACCACATTAAGCATTATGAAAAAATATTCACTATTAATGTAATTAAGCCATATCTCTATTTTCAACCAAGTTCCCCTTCTTTCCTAAGCTTTTACCACAATAAAATATACAAAAATACTTAAGTTAACATTAAACCCATTATTAGTAAGTTTCCTGCTCAAGAATTATACTTTAAGCAATAAACATCAAAACTACTTTATATCCTAGCTTACAAATAAGATGACTACCAAAGCTGCATTCTCTTCACATTACGTGAAAAACTACAAAAGTACTCTAAGTCTGTTGTGCCACAACTAGCTATGTAATTTCCCCAGGCTACCGTTTGACAGAATAGTGGAGAACTTTTTTCCATCACGACCTCATTTCCCACACACCTTCATACTGTTCCCATAGTTCTCTGTATGACCGGATTACAAATTAAAACACAAATAAATTGAGCAATAACCCAAGCTAATTTTCCTATTGTCAGACTTTTTAACATTTAAGGCTAAACATTAAGCATTAATACACTCTCATCACCAGTTAAAGATAAATTTATTGATCCAAAATTATTGCCAAAAGACTTAAGCTAAGCAAAATCTTTACTTAAGCTTAATGCTCTTTTTAACTCCTGCACGAATGCCAGAAAGTTCACCAGTATAACGTTGCTCTTCCCTACGAACTTCACGAACCTGGCCTCTTCTGCGAATTTTGGCTTTTCTGAACTTCTCCCGGTGTTTCACTCTGGGATTCCGATCAATCTTCTTTCTCCTAGGTGTAAGTCCCCTATTTTTAGCAATCTGATAAGTAATGGCTCTCTTTGCATTTTGATCTTCAAGAGCCTGTTCTTCGGTACTATTTTCTTCTTTCTTTCTCTTTAATTTTTGTTTCTCTTCCATTTCTTTATAGTATTTCAGTGCCGCTTCTTCATCAAAATCAGAATCATCAGAAAGGTCTGGAACAGTTAAGGCAGCAGCAGAAGTCTCTGAAACTGATTTTGACTTGGCCTTCATGGATTTTGCTTTTAAATTCAGTTTTTTCTTTCCAGCACCACCTTTAAGTGTGAGCAGATGACGGATTTCAGAGGACAGCTTCTGATCCACGACCGACAACTTGTTGATCAAATTTCGGTAGGTAACAAGCCTTTCAATGACAGGATGTCCATGTGCAGGGACTCTCCTAGCTTTCAGGATCAGATAAAAACTAATGTTGGAGCAATAGTTCAAATAGAGATTGTATTTGGTCCTCAGGTATTGGCTTCCTTTTCCAGGGGGGATGATCTTTTGCTCCACTAACTGTATCAACGGCTCCAGCTCATCCTTCATCTCTGTCAACTTAACTTTCAAGTCGTCTATCAGCTCCAAGAGCTCTGGAGATTCCTTTCGCAGCATTTTCAGCTTCTCTTTCACGGAAACTTTCGCCAAATCCTTCACGACACGTGTCTCAGCCTCATTTACCTGAGGTACTGGTTTTGCAAAAGCCTCCACCCAGCTAACTCCAAAATCGTCCTCCTGCAGGGCTTGGGCTAAGCGCCGCTGAATGAGCTGGGCCTCCTCCTCCTCCTCTCTCTCCTCTTCCTCTACTTCTTGTTGAGTCTGCCGGCCTCGGGACTTGGAGCCATAGTCCGTGTCGTAGTAAAGTTTTTTCCTCTGACCCCACGACAAACTGGGATCCACAGAAGCCTCAGTCTCACTCTGCACGGAGCTCCCACCATCATCATCATCGTCACCCTCTTCACTTTCTCCATCTTCATCGTCCTCATCGGCAACATCTAGGGCAAGCACCTCCTCCTCCTCATCGCCATCCTCCTCGTCCCCACTCTCTATTTCGCTCCAGCCCTTAGCCAAGGCGGCCCGAGATCGGGCCTCATGGAAATCATCTACCTTATCCTGGTAGTAGCTCGAGTCCCCCGGTGAGGGTGGAGATTCTAAGTCCTCTCCATTTTCGTCCTCTGGGCCGCGACTTGCCTTAGCTCGCACCGCTGCCCACTTGGCCGCTCCGCGCGCGCGCCGCCCGGACCTTCCCACCATAGTTCGCGGTCTCTGCTTCTACACCGACGTCAGGCTTTCAGCCACCTCTGACCTCGGCGCACGAGCCACACGCTCCAACAACACGCCGCTGTAACAGCCACGCGATCTCTCACCACGCTCGTCTTGCCGGCGCTCCAGTCGGACGCGACAGTTTCATCTCCTTCCGGTCCCCAGGATGCTCTCCGTGGAGCGTTTGAACCAGGACTTCCGGTTGGTCCTTCGGATCTTTCCGTGTGGGAACAGTAGGTAAGGAAGTTTGGTTCCGGGGACCTCTTTGGTCCTGTTCTTACTCTCGCGAGCCTGGGCGTGGCTAGGGTGACGGCCCCGTTAACCGCGAGGTGAAGTAGCAGTGACCGTTGGAGGGCGCTTTACCTCTATGCCTAGGAGAGGCAGCCGGGCTGTGCAGTGAGTTGTCCAGCTCCTGTCCGGACGTCACTGGCCCGGAGCCGAGTGCAGGTGTATAAGGTTTTCTTGTTTACTGAAATTTTGTTTACGCCTATCCGTCAGGAAGTTAATCAGATTGTTTTTGTCTACGCAATGTCCAGTACGACCTTTCTGGGCACGGTAGGCGGAGGTGGCGGCGGCGCCGCGCCTGACTGGAGCATCCGCGTGCAGGCGCCGGGAAGGGCGCAGGCCTCCGGCGGGTGGCAGCTCGCCTCCAGCCCCTCGCCCGCAGGGCTCGGGGACTTCAGGGGATTGGAGTCCCCGAGGAGTTTCCGAGGGGTGGTGACGGTGAGGAGGCAGAGCTGCGCTCTGCAGTCTGACTGTTGCCGAGGAACTCAAGTTGCCTGCAGGAGGCGCTGCGATTTCTCTTCCTTTCAGTGGAAGACGTTCATTCTTCAGGGTGTTTTGGAAATGACACATGTTAGCTCTCAGGAGCGGGCCGTTTGTAAATTCTTCAGCCCTTAATAAGCACGAGGCAGCGTGTTAGGCTCTGGGACAACGATGATGGGCAAGAGCAGACGCTGTTCTCGCAATGGTGGAACAGGTGGTTTAGTTAAACCAAATCATCACGCGAAACATGCCGGATCATAAGTGGGATGAGTACTGTGAACACTAGCCTGTGTTTCCCAGCCTTCAGCTGCTGAGGACACTCAACGTGCCTTTCACATCGCTGTCTTTTTGTACACGCCATCCAGCCCCCTTACTAAGAAGAGTTTAGTGCTCCCGGCCAAATTTGAGAAATTCTGCTGTAATGAAGAGACAGTCTAAGCATCACTTGTTGGACTTTTCTTTAACTCCCTTACTGCCTTTTTCTCAGCTTTTTTGTATCACGTCGTACATCTCAACAGAACTGTGATATTGCAAGCACGCAGCACAGCGTCTGGCACAGAGTAAGTGTTCAATGAAGATCTGTTTAATGAATAAGTATTGACGTTACAGTACTTGATCATGTGTTGAACTCAGGTGCTAAATAAATGGAATGAATGAATGATGCCTAAACCTGCGGACATCCCTAAGGGAAATAACCTGAGCTGGAATGGATTTCAGAAATCATTAATTCCAGTTCCAGTATCTTCATTGTCTACATGTGGAAACAGAGACTTGGGAAGATTAGGTTAACAAATTTAGCACAGAAACCTGGGCCAGGGCTCCCACACCAGACCCTCTCACCCAGCTGTTAGCAGTCCTTTGCCAGTTCAATGTGAATGAGTTTCAGACCTTTTCCAGAGGGTAGGCTGTACAGGGTGGATGAAAGAAACTGAGAGCTCAGATGAAAGTATTTCAAGAGGAAGAGTGGTAATAAGGGAAAAATTAGTAAGATTTGTCTGCAAAAGTTTTTCTAGGACTAGAAGTGTGAAAGGACTGCCCAACAATCTTAAGAGTAATTCAAGGTTTAAGTTTTCAGACGTTACATATGATCAGTTCATATTCACTATATATTTTAGACATTATGCTTCCCAAATGTAGATAGTTTAAAGTTCAACTGCAATAAGTTGTTAAAGTTAATGGTGACATACAGGCTCTTTGTAGAAAGTGCAGCCTGATCAGGTTATTAAAAAATAATACAATTTTTTAGAAAAGTGACATTTTGAACTAAGATAGTTTTAAAGTGCTACAAGTTATTATAAGCATTTAAAAACCTGTACAGGATTTTAGGAAGTACAATTTAATGAATAAAAAATGTGTGGGTAAAAGTCTTTATGATCTGATGCTAAGTGCAGAATTCATCTTTGAATGTAAACTTTAATAGATTTTTTGTCATTCAGCAAATATTAACTGCTTATTAATTGTTGCAGAATGCTATATGATTTAGTAGATTCAAAGGTGAATTAACCATAATCTCTTCTAATGAGCTGGTGATGGACAGGGAGGCCTGTCCTGCTGCAGTCCATGGAGTTGCAGAGTTGGACATGACTGAAGGACTGAACTGAACTGAACTTCTAATGAGGAGCTTCCCAGGTGGCGCTAGTAGTAAAGAATCTGCCTGCTAATGCAGGAGCATAAGAGATGAAGATTCAGTCCCTGGGTCGGGAAGATCCCCTGGAGAAGGTAATGGCAACCCACTCTGGTATTCTTGCCTGGAGAATCCCATGGACAGAGGAGCCTAGTGGGCTACAGTCCATGGGTTCCCAAAGAGTCGGACATGACTGAGCGATGACATCATCTTCTAATGAGGTAGAAAAGAAGATATGCATACAGATTATACTAAAATACAAGGCAGTATGTGATGTAAACACAGTGCTGTGAGAGATCAGAAGGGTGAGAGATCATTTCTGGATTTTATTCTGGAAATGTTGCTTAAAAGAGTGTGGCATCTAAGCTGGGATTGTAATTATATCCTTGCTTTAAATGTATTAAATTTGCGTTATATCTAAGCTATTTTTTCTGCTCATTTTTATTGCTGATTATTTGAGAATTGTAGTCATACTCAACAAAATGCATATACTGTTATAGAGAAGATAAAAACTTATTTTGGATATTTTTAGTGGGAATAGTCACATTGCTCTAATATTTATTTGGTTTATATTATACATTACATTTCCTAACTATATATGAAATAATATAATAATATCCAGGGTATATTCAGAGTGTTGTATTCTAACATTCTCAGATATTTTTGATGAACAGTTCAGAAGTCAGTTCTTCAATTCCAGCAGCTCCTGTAGTATAAACTTCCATAACCGGATCTTGGAATTATTTGCCATTTAGGTGAGGAAATTGTTTCCTTAAAAATTTGTATCACTGAAAAGACATATTAATGCTTTATTACATCATAAGGCTTTGCCAATTACAAAGAAAAATACTGAGTCCTTAGAAAATGAACACATATTAAATAGCATTTAACAATTGTGTTTGTGGCAACTGTCATGTATTATCAACTTGAATCTTTGTTACATTATTGTGATGCCTGACACAGGAGTTTGCAAACTAGACCTAATGGAAGCCAACAGGTTTGGGAGTTGTTGTTGTTGTTGTTGTTTGCTGTAGGAGGTAGGGGTTTATGAATGAAACACTAGGTTTCATATTAGGATACTTCCTTCAGGGCATGAGTTCAAGTTTTTAAAATTCTACCACCAGATTAGCGTAAACTGATCTCACATTCTTGTGGACTCCTGCAGCAGTAATAGCTAGCGTTGAGAGTGGTTATTATGTTCCAGTATTAGTATAAGCTCTTGACATTCAACCCTATGAAGAAGTACTATGATAATCTCTAATTTAGGATTCAAAGGCACCTGCCGTTTATCTTTCATTAATTAATCTATGACTATCCTGGGTCTTTGTTGCTGTATGGGGGATTTCTGTAGTTGCTGCTAGCAGGGGCTCCTCTCTAGTTGCAGTGCATGGGCTTAGTTGCTCCGTGGTATGTGGGATCTCTCCAGACCAGGGATTGAACCCATGTCCCCTGCATTGGCAGGTGAATTCTTAACCACTGGACCACCAGGGAAGTCCCAGATGGAATTTAAATGAGGCCTTAAGAAGTATTGGTGGAACCAGATTTGAATCCAGTCAGTCTGTCTTTGGAAATTTCCACGAGGTTGTAGCTAACTGCTGTATTGTATTGGCTTTCAAATATTCCCTTAATAGGTCTTTTTACTTCCAGTCTCGGCTGTACATTTGATTCAGCATCATGAGATATGTCTTTCTAGAATGCTATTAATATTTCCATCATTCTATACCCTTGCTCAAAACCTTTCAATGACTCTCAGTTACTATCAAAATAAAGTTCACAGCATGCATGGCCCTGCCAGTTTTTCCTCAAGGCAAGCCTTCCAGCCATACCTTTCATTGAATTCTCTACCACTCTTTATTCTCCAAACATTGCTTTGCAGTCTTCTCCTCTGTTTTTTGCTCTTTTCAGTGTTCCCATGTTTACTTAGGTAAGAAATTTACAGATCACTACAGACATCCTTTTGGCTAACAAATTCCCACATAGATCCATAATGGGACCTGTATGAGGCTGTTTTAAAAGCTGTTATTGAAAGCATGGTGTTGGAGACAACCTGGTTGCTAAAGAGAGATCAGTAAGTATCACGGGTGAGCAGCGTGGAATTCAGGCACATGAAGTAACTATCCTTCTTAGACTGCTTGGCACAGCGCTGTTACTCCAGTGTGATTGTTCATAGCAACCCTTTTATCATTTAGATGATAAACTATATGGGTATCTTAACTATACAGTAATTGGAAAAAGTGAAAGTTGCTTCATTGTGTCCAGCTCTTTGTGATCCCATGGACTGTAGCCCACTAGGGTCCTCATCCGTGGAATTCTCCAGGCAGGAATACTAAAATGGGTAGCCATTCTCTTCACCAGGGAATCTTCCCAACCTGGGGATCCAACTGGCGTCTCCCACATTGCAGGCAGTTTCTTTGCTGTCTGAGCCACCAGAGAAGCCCCAGTAATGAGAAACTGGATTATTCATACACATAGCAGCATGAATGGGTCTTAAAAACAGTGTGCTTAGGATAAAAGGTAAAAAAATGGAGCGTGCAATAAGATATGTGCAACTGTACAACAGCACACATTTTATAAGAACATATGCAAACAAAATAATGTACATTAAAGACAAAGAAGGTTGCTTATGGAGGACCAAAGAATGGGATGAAGCTTGGAGATCAGAGGAATTGGGAGAGGCACTTACCATGGACCAATAAGATAATGTTCCACAAACTGAGGAGGATAGTTAACTGTTTGCATCTGAGGTTCAATTAAAAATAAATCAGCAGACAAAAAATGACTACACATCTCTAACTTTTAAAGTTCTTTAAAAACTTCCCAACATCTATAGACTCAAGTTCATATTCCTATGTCCTGACTCCTGCATACGTCTTAAACTTCTTGCCACACTGTCACTGCTACCATATGTGGCATAGCCTTGCATGTATATATACTATGTGTAATGTATGTAAATATTAGGCTAAGAGCTAAAACCTTTATAGCAAATGAGGGCCAACTAAAAAAGCTATATGTGGATTGTGTTTCAAAAACCTTTATCATCAGAGCTGTAATTATCATTGTATCATTAGTTAATATAAAGATAATTGTATCTACAAGATTTCTCATTAACCTGGTGCAGGCTATGATCTTTCTTGCCACCTTTCCTTCATTATACATATTGTTTTCTTCTGTGCTTTCTAGAGAAGTCTTACTCATCATCTAAGATGAATGTCTTTTTTTTTTTTTTGATGTGCTATGCAGGATCTTAGTTGCCTGACCAGGGATGGAACTTGTGTTCTCTGTAGTAGAAGTGCAGAGTCTTAACCACTGGATCCCCAGGGAAGTTCAAGATTGATTTTAAATGTCACCTTAAAAGCCTTTCGTGTCTCCTCAGGCAGGATGAAGAACTTTCCCTTTTTTCATTTCCATGCTTCATATCTTTATTTATACTTACTGCTTTCCCTCCATTAAGTGTATGAGCTATGTTAAGTCTGGATCAAGTTG